ATTCATACTGCTCCGTTAGTTCCGGAACAGTTCCAGCACAATGCCCGAACTGCACAGCTGTGCTGGAACTGTTTCGAACTTACGGTAGTATGAACCCAGCCTAAAAACCTTGATTCCAAAACAGCCTTCCTTGCTACAGAACGAATTTGGATTATGAGATATGAACACTTCAATCACCATATTTCATTGTTCAAATCCCCTTTGATCACGAAATCGTGTATGCCTGTTAAACACTACAGTATAACACTGAAGAATCAGCAAATCACAGTACGCATTGATAAACTGTCTCATCCAGATTTAACCCAGTACATGGGCTTTGGTAGTTTTTACTCTCAGCACTTCTTTAGTTCTCAGCACGTTCGTACAAGCCAAATTCGACGACTCCCCACCTATATTCGTTTTGCGGCTAAGGAAGGCTTTTTTGGTACCGGCCCTTTGAGCGGCTGCAGATGATATCTATCTAATGTCAAAAATCACTGCGACTTCTGAAACTTTTCTTGTTGATGTTTGAAAGAAACATCAGCTTCTTCTTTCAAGAATTATGTAAATGAAAAGGCATTCGAAAGTAGAAAAAGGCACAAGCCTTCCTTAGAAATGTAAACAAATGAGGAGACGATGCGTGAAGTAATATTACCTCTGTCATGACTATGAAATAACAATCATGTTCATTTAGACTACAGTTTCTACATGGTGATCATGGCGATCCTTCAAATTTCGTACGAATCCAAGAAGCTCTCGAGAATGGCCGAACCGATCAAGCAGAGATTGGACTTTGTAAAAAGAACAGTAAGAGTTCGATTTTGACGCCTTTTGCATAATCAATGATACACCATTTAGAAACACAAATCTGGTTGCTGGTGCATTTGGCTCCGATCAAAAACGATAAAGAAAATGTGGTTCTGTATCTTTGTCAGTTCAAAGATATCACACCACTTAAGCAGCCGCTCGATGACGAAAATAATAAAGGTATGTGCACTTTCAATATTTGAGATTCTACGACTCACGACGAAAGACCATTCATACCCTTTTGCCTTAATAAGGGCTAAGACATATAACGTGAAGGTAGCAAAGCTTTTTTATGCTTTGCAACATGTTAACATCTAAAATTCTACCATCTTCTTGAATTAATTACTTCCTTGCATATAACTTTCTTCATCTGTTCGGCGACATGACGATTAAAATATCTCCATGAGGTCACAGCTCTCGTCCATATGACTTTTTATGCACATTTAATCGCTTTCCCCATCATAGGCTAGAAACAGGAATAACGGAATCTAATCATTCTAGAAAGTTTGCCTTTCGCACATACGCGGCCTAGAAGCATATGGTTGCACTTTTTTCCAATAATGTAAAAAGTTCATAATTGTCCTTAAAGCACTATCTTGTTTCATGATGTCATTTTACTGAATAGTTTTGACGAGTAAGAGTGTCACTGTTCTACAATGTGCCTTCCACTTATGCTATCTATGCGTCTTTTGCGAAAATCATAGTGCGGTAGGTGCAGGTGAATCTTCAAACTTATGAATGTTGTGCTTGTGAATTGGTTTTACGGTGGTTCGTGGAGGTGAGATCTTGTCATCCTCTAATGTATACGATATACGAGCAGACTTTTTGTAGCGAGTGGTTTGTTTTTGAGTTAGTTTCCGTGTTTGAATCAAGTGTCATCTCCCATTTTTGCTCCCAGTTTGATTTCGGAGCCTGCACGGAAGAAGCTAGTGCTTGATCGCCGTCTCTGTATCGCTTGTTCACACATGACTTAAAACCACTTTGATAACATTCTTATTCGTTGTGCTACACCTCGAAGCAACACCTAAAGTTAGTAGAATCAATGATTTGTATCAGCAAGCAACATATCTTAACAATTTCAAATTTTGATTTTGCACTCGCTACACATGTAAGAGTAATTTAAGTAGAGCGATGTATGAGTTTAACGCATTGGAATGCTTGAATTGGAAATTGCTTTGGTACAGATTGCAGGATTAAGTATATTTTTCTTATCTACGAACCCCTTTTTTACTGGGGAAGGTTTGTTGATTCTTACACTCACTTTAATGGCAAAAGCAGAACTTGTAAATTTTACCTATCCAAAATCTTACCCTTAAAGGCAATTTCTCACCAAAAATGGTTTAGTGCGGATTTTCACACATTCTACTGGAGAGACCCCTAGACAGGCCAGTGCAACAAGTTCGACTCGATTTGTCCCCCTCTAGGCCGTAAAAAATGAGCCCAAAGTGGTACGCAGAGAGCGACTTCTGCCGCTTCCTGCTGCGCACGCCGCTGCAGTAGTGTCAAAAATATGCCT